AAAAAGATCAGGGGAGGGCAGGGCATGGCACCCAGGCTCCGTCCAAGCACACAGAGTGGGATGGAGTTCTTATAGCCCCAGAAGGTAGGTGGGAGCTGGGAATGGAAGAATAAAGAATGATAATAAAAAGGACAAAAGTAATAATAATAGTAGTAGTTTTAAAACAGACAAAAACAAACTAAAAAAAGGAAAAAAAAAAAAAAAAGCTGGACAGGGTGGGGCAGGGTACCCAGGCTCCTTCGGAGCACACAGACTGGGATAGAATTCCTACCAGGCTAGAAGGTGGGTAGGAGTAAGGGATGGCCGCACCTCTGTTCACCAAGAGAGTGTGAGATATAAGAGTAACAAGGGGAATGTTGCACCTTTCCTGTAGTCCGTGCTTCTGGAATGTCCTTGTGGTTCCCAGCAAGCAGAGCCTGTTCTTAAGTCCTTGTAATCTGAGAGAACACTGTTGCTTTAAATATCCAAAATGGTCAAGCTGCTTGTAAACATTCAAAATGGCTGTGTCCTACAGACAGGCAAAAGTCCACAGCTCAGCTCGCCTTCCTCTTCACTGCTTCCCCTTTTATTCCCCAGCCACCAGAGCACTCCTCCACACAGTCTCTGGCTAACAGGGCTGATTTTCAGGTTAATTCTTAGGTCCTACCACCACTTGGCAATATCCAAGCTGTCTGTGCTGTAAGGATCGCTGCCAAACCACAGCTCCGTATGTCTCCTTTTCTGGTATTTTCATGCAAATTCTTCTGCTAGTTGGTGTTTAGTCCACTTCTATATCCTTCCCTTCAAAGCTCACAGGTCCAGGATTATCTTCTGTATCTGTGTTAATTGGTTTCCCTTTTCTTTGTTGAAAACAGTCTGTGCAGTCTTTCAGCCTATTCCGCCATTTTACCAGAACTCCCCATTTTGATTCTTTACAAGCGGCAGCCATTTTGGATATTTAAAGTAACCAAGGGCACAGCCATTTTGAATCTTTACAAGAGGTGGCCATTTTGGATTTTAAAGTAACAGCACTATCATTCGGATTTCAGGGACCTAAGAATTGGCTCTGTTTGCCAAGGATAGCAGGGATAGATGGGAGGCTGACAACGGGAAAGGAGACAGGTAGTGAGTGTGTAAGTGCTGTCAATAGAACACTTAGAATAGAGGAGCACAGCA